GCTGGCAATTAAAAGCAGACAGAGAATCAGGACTGTGATTTACTGACTCAATCACCCCACCTATAACAAACCAGCATCTCTTTACTGCGTAACTCAATCCAGTTATTGCCCTTTCCTTACAACCCCTTTTGAAAATAGCTCTTCTGAGTTCTCCTTCCAGCCTTGTGCTCCAAGTGAACATCTTAAAAGCTTTAAGGGCTTCATAGACTCCTTCCTTTGCAAGATACTGATCATAGACTCAAAATGTCTTTCACTTATCACGTGTTTTCCAGAGGTTTTGAGGTCAGACAACTTTCTTGTATTTAAAGGCTTCTTATTACATTGATAGAAAATAGCTTTGCTAAAGACATGAATCCAGCATCCCTGAGGAACCAGGGATGGGTTCCTGACTCTTCTTCCTGTGGGTGTGAAGATGGGGGTGGTGGGGGCAAAGGCTGATGCTCAGGTGGTGTCCACAAGCAGAGGAAACCTTTTGGATGGGATGGGAAGCACATGGAAGGTTTTAGCTGGGCTCTGTCACCCAAAATATGGTGCAACAGCCATGTTACACTGAATTGTGCCCTGTTTCTCCCAGGACGCTGGCCTAGGACACTAGTGAGAATGGGAGGGATGGTGGTGACATCTTGTCATTAATTCAGGCCTAATTTCTAACTGTGTGTGTTTAACCAAGCATTTGGGTGTTGGGTGAGAAGCTCCCCATGTTCTGGCTTCAGTGGATTGAGCCCAGAACCCCCTGTGTGCTGGGCTTGCACCCCCAGAGCGTGAGCAGCAGCTCAGAAAGGGGATCCTGCCCCTCTGCTGCGCTATGGGGAGACCTGAGAGCAGCTCCAGTGACTAAGGGGGCTGCAGGATACCTGGAGAAGGGCTTGGAACTGGAGGAGTTTTAAGGTCCCTTCCAACATAAACCAGGCTGGGATTCTATGGCTGTACACAGTGTAAAGCTTTAGTCAGTCCATGTGTGGATGTTTCATGTAAGTAAGAGGTGAAGGTTAGAGTTCCACAGGGAGCTGAGGAGGCTCCACAGTGCAGACCTCAACAAGCGGAAAGGGGAGAGAAGTCCCAAGTGAACTACCTGCAGCTGTTTCAATGTCCTGAGACAGGCAATGCCATTGTAATTGCCCTCAGTATTTAACCATCGTGTCTCCGTGGAACCGTTCCTGGCCATCACTAGGTGGCAACATAGCCGGTGGAAAGAGATCCCATGCAGAACACGGCGCAGGGACACCTCAGGCTGATTTCACTTTGCTGGCTCCATAGATTAGCCAAGATCTTTTTGCTTCTGTAGGTCCAGATCCCATCTGCAGCCCTCCTGCAACTTCACAGGCCTCTCACTGCGCAATTACAGGAGGACTTTAGGCTGATTATGCATTAAAAACTCCCCTCTAGAAAGAAATGCAGTGATCAGAGGCATTTTAAGTGTTATGTTGGAATTCAAGCAGCCCTGCTGCTCACTACAAACTGTTGCTACAAGGTGCTGTTGGACTTTACATTTTCATTGTTAGGGTGTTTCTCATTATTTAAATGTTAAATCCAAGCATTTCACTTCCATCTTCTCTTTTTTGACTGAAATACGTTATGGAAGTCTTAACTACAGCCTGAGGAGAATGAACATCACAAGTCATTGCAATGGAGAGTGTCAATGGGATGCAGCGAATCCAAACCAAACAACAAATAAATGGCACTTTTGTCCTTCAGATATGTCAAAGCATGAATGCAAATTCTGCAGTCTTGTATTTTCCTGATCCCCACCATGCTCTAATCTTATACAATCTACATTCCCATATTCAGAGCGGATCTGCTAAAGCAGCTTGTTCTCAACCAGTTGCATTGGGTTTCTGTAGAGCGCGTTTCCCTACTAAATCCAAATTCACAGTCTTTTCCTGGTGACAAAATTAGCCCATCCTTAGGATAGAAAGTATCCTTTGAATATCTTAACTACTGTGTTTTACGTCCCCGTGTCTCTCAATGCTGTTGTGCTGTACAGCATCCCTCTTTAGCACTATTCTTTATTGGAAGCATGGTCTCGTTTTGCAGTGTGCTCCTTCTTCACCCTTCCAAGGCAGAGGTACCATCTCCATTCCCAGTCCCTGCCTCGCCGTGGTGTATCCACGCAGTTGGCTTTTGATATTGCTGTTTGTCTGCGAATGGAGGTGCCTCAAGGTTCATAAATCTGTATGCAGTAGTATGGGTTCTCTAACAGCAATTCATTTTAATTATGTGAGACATAAAAAGACCACCTACAGATGAGACAATACAGCTGTAAGATTCTCAAGGTTACTATGGGGAATACTTCATAACTGAAGTATGTTTTCCCAAAGGAATTGCACTACCATTTGATTTAATTTTTAATTTTTACATTTTAATCAAAAATAGATCAAATGGTGGTGTTATCTCCTGGGAAACATACTTCAGATATGAAGCAGTCCATGTTCCTTTTAAATATGTAAAGCTGCCATTTATGTATAACTCATGAATGACACCCTGTGTTGCAAGCAAATATCACGCCGTGATTTCTATATTGTTTCTGTAACAACACTGTAATCATACACAAATATCACCACACCTCATTCTACAGAGCAAATGGCATTAAAGAGTGAGGACTTCAGGAGCCAATGCAATAAATGCCTAGTGCTAACTAAGCCACCGTGTACTGGATGTGTGCATGGGGATGCTGGTGTCCCAGGGGCTGCTCAGCACCATAGAGGTTGATGTTCAGCTCTCTGAGAGCTTTCAGAAAACTCGGGTTCAGAAGAACAGGGGCAATGTTCGAGCAAGAACAAAGCACAAGAACTTCAACCCTGGGTGGTGTGATCTGGAGATCTCAATACAGATATTGCTGTGGAACAGCAAACGGGTGTTTCAACTCAGGGTCCCAAACTGCTTTGGGTTGGAGGGCCCTTAAAGCTCCTCCAGCTCCAACCCCTGCCACAGGCAGGGACCCCTTCCACTGGAGCAGCTTGCTCCAAGCCCCTGTGTCCAACCTGGCCTTGAGCACTGCCAGGGATGGGGCAGCCACAGCTTCTCTGGGCACCCTGTGCCAGCGCCTCAGCACCCTCACAGGGAAGAGCTTCTGCCTAAGAGCTCAGCTCAGTCTCCCCTCGGGCAGGTTCAAGCCATTCCCCTTGGCCTGTCCCTGTTGGCAGGGGGTTGGAACTGGATGAGCTTTAAGGTCTTTTCCAACCCAAACCATTCTATGATTCCATGATTTACCTATCTCAGTGTCTGCAACCCAATCCTGAATGGAGTAACAAAACCAGCCAGTTCCACACTGTAGCCAAAGTGGTGTTTAATGCTTCTGCTTTCATAAGTAACAATTTACAAAATACAAAGTTAAAAATAGAAGAATATATCCTATTAACCTGAATTAAAGGCAGACCATATGGCTATTTTACTATATACACATAAATAAAATCACTCGGGTAATTTTGTGTACAAATCACAGTATTAGGAAATATAAAGTGTCTTACTTTTGTCAATAAAACATAATCCCATAGATGCACAAGGCAAAGAAAAGTCATACAAAAATAACTTTGTGGTTCTAGTGCAGACTTGACACAAATCTGCTTTAAAGAAACTCTTCCCCTGTCCCCATGGCATTCACCTGTATCTATTGCTTATGATTCTGACTGACACATCCTGAAGCTAATTACAAACAAGGTATGTCTATTGTAAAACATACACTACCATAAGCCTGCAATGTATTTAATTATTAAGCTACAATTTGTTTTTGTGCTGGCTGATTGATGGCTGCATTCCTCGCCCCACTGGAAAGCATGGAGTGAGGACTCCCATCCTAGCTGAAAGATTCACTTCAGACTTCATCCAGATGCGTATGAATTCTCATTTGGAAAGAGAATCAGGATAAACCCAGTATTTCTAAATAGCCAAACATGCTCCCAGTTCACTGGAGAGGCCAGTTCATACTTTAGGAGCAAGAGCAGCTACTTCACACGGACTCTACCTGACACGTTCACCTACCTGGAACACTTCATTTACCAGCAATAGCATTCCCAGAAATCTAACTACACATCTGCTCAAGTTTTTATTAGGGCTTCCGAGTTTTCCTTAGGACTTAACATTCCTCCTGCAACAGGGAGGAATGTAGAGCACTAATAAAAACATATTCCACAGCTACCCTCCTGCTTCAGCTGCAGCTCCCAAAGGTTCTTCTGGGTTTTCTGATAGCATCAGCCAACTCAAGACAAACAGAAAGGAGGGAGCTGCTGTTTTTGACTGTATAGGAAGAGCATCCTTGCACTGTGTAAATTAAGTGTGAATATAGCCACACACTTGAATTCTAGTCATAAAGGAACTGCTGATTAACTACTGAAGGTGGCATTGCTCTATTTGCTAAGCATTGATAAGTTTAATGTTCTCTCTGTGATAACAAACATACATCATAGGACAGATCATAGCAAACAACAAAAATACTGTTGGAAAATACTGATTTTTTCATCATTCCTGAGTTATTTGATGTTTGAGGCTTGGCTGTGAGGCAAGAAAGGATGCCCATAACACAACCTGATATAAAATACTGGCTTTGTGTTTGTACCAAGTCTTTCCTTCAATGCTTGCTCTGCTTCTTGGACTCTTCTCTGGGCCTCCCAAAAACTGGTCACTTGAGCTACTGAGCTCAGTGTTCCCATGTGACCCAGGCCAGTGCTTTTGGAGATTATCCTGGATGCTGAAATGGTTGGGATGCAGAAATTAAAACACTTCTCAGTTCTGAAGGAATAAAAAGATACAGAAGGGTTTTCACAGAAGTCTCTCCTAAGGAGGAATCTTCCACTGAGCCAATCTGTTCCAACACCCCTTTTTTGGAGTCCATTCTGAACTGGATGAGCTTTAAGCTCCCTTCCAACCCAAACTAGTCTGTGATTGTATGACCCTTCTGCCTAAACCAGAGCAAGCACTGACGTGTCACACTCAAACAGCACAGCTTGCCTATCTTTTGAGTCTAAAAGTCTGATCCTATTAAAAATTATATTGTTTATTATATATAATTATATAGTTCTATGCACTGGCAAAACATAGGTGAAATTATCTGTGACAAGCCAACACAAGGATGTTGAATGACATGGTCAAGGCTTTCTGAACAGATTTGTTCCAATATCACAGTAACTAGACAGACAGTCGGGCAGTGTCAATTGTATCTTAACAGCTTTGTGAGGACTCCACAGGGCTCATCTACTACTCATCCTATAGAAGGTAGTCCAAATAATATTCCTTTTCCTGTTAGATACTTAACTGCCACATTCACCAACTCTGCTTGTTATAAACAAGCTACAAGTACAGTGTATAAGATACCTGAACTGGATGTGTAATTTGGATATAAACTTAAATTTCCATAGGATTTTTACTGGCTTTCACAGCTGCAAAGCAGAACAGCCATCTAAGGATGAAGACATTTCTACCTGCACATACAGGGCTGAGCTATGTAATGTATACATGCCTGTATGCATGTAAATGCAAGGACTGTTTTCCAAGACTATCAGAAAAAGTGCCCATAAGAGACAGGAAAATCTTGGATCATGACCCCTGACCCCGGAGAAAACTGCTCCTTAGGCCACATCAACCCAACTGATCTAAAACTTTAAATCAACCTGATTTTCTTATTTAAAAAAGATAGTGACTACCTTAGAAGCAGAAGCATTGTTCAAGTGTAAGAAAACAATGATACCCATAACTGTGCACTGAAAGAGTAATGCACACAGTGAAGTGCTGTATGCTGAATGCCACACGCGTGTCCACACAAGTCCATGCTTCGAGTGAGGGTACAGATATCCAGCTGCACAGGTTCCCAGATCTAGCTTCAGAACTCAAAAAGAAAAGCAGCACTGCTGATCTTCTCTCTTGCCACTTCTAGAAGCTCAGGATATGATTGAAGTGTCCCTGAAATGACAAAGTTTCGTGTCGCTAAAAGTTATCTCATCCAAACCTGAAGTCTCTTCCTCCTCAGTGTATGAAGGAACTGACACTTCCACTAACAACATCACAAATGTTCTCTTTTTGTCCCTGGAGGAGCAGTGAACAACTAGAAAGTCTGGATAATAAAGGGACTCTGTAGTGTAATCTGTGTCAGGAGCCACAGGAATGGTGTTACTTGGAATGAAGATACTTAGTCAGATTTTTTCCCAATAAAGTGGTCACTGATACAGAAGAATTTTACAAACTCTATAATGTTGTCACTGTAGTTCTGGAATACAACAAAACCGATGTCCTAATATGTCAGTTTCGGGGGCAATCCCAAAATGTTCTTTTCTTTTTGGGGTTTTAGTATTTAGGCAGCCACAGCTTCTCTGGGCACCCTGTGCCAGCGCCTCAGCACCCTCACAGGGAAGAGCTTCTGCCTAAGAGCTCAGCTCAGTCTCCCCTCTGGCAGGTTCAAGACATTCCCTCTTGCCCGGTCCTACAGGCCCTTGTAAAAAGCCCCTCTCCAGCTTTCTTGCAGGCCTCCTTGTTCACTATCACTAGCCATTATCTCTTCAGTGTTTTGGAATCCTATCCAGGGCTAAAAAGAGTAAAAAGAGTCATCACTGACAGATGACTCTGAGCTCAGAGTCATCTGCCAGTGGGAGGTTCTAGTGCTGCTGCTGCACCATTACACCAGAGTTCACAGTGACAAGGGGTGATGAGTTCCAACTAAACAGGGGCAGTTCAGGTTAGATGTGAGGAAGAAGTTCTTTGCTGTTAGGGTAGTTAGGCACTGGCACAAAGTGCTCAAAGAAGTGGTAAATCATAGAATAGTTAGGGTTGGAAAGGACCTTAAGATCATTCAGTTCCAACCCCCTGCCACAGGGCATGTAAATGCTCCATCTCTGGCAGTGTTCAAGGCCAGGTCTGGTGTGAGGCATCCCTGCCCAGGGCAAGGGGTTAGAACTAGATGAGCTTAAGGTTCTTTCCAACTATTCTATAGTTCTATAACTGCAACTACAACCTAGAGAAATCAAATAACCAGTACAGGTTTTGAAGAGCTTTCTCTGGATGCCAGGAGGAGCCTGTGTGCAGGAGCTCAGGAGCCAGCACTGTGCAGCTGCCCAAATCCATGTTCTGCTCCTCAGAAAGCCAGGTTGTGCCGAGCTCTGACTGCAACTGGTTCTTTTGCTCCTTCATTTAGAACTAGCCCTGGTATGTCTACAGGGTGTTATTTTTAGGCTGTCTGTATTTGTTGGAAAGGAAGTATCTAATTAGAGTTAAAAACAGGAGATAGAATGGGATTGCTGACTACTTTATTATGATCCAGTAACTCAAGGAAGATATAAAAAGGGGGGAGAGGAAGCTGGATGTTAGTGTTTGCTTCAGTTACTTCCTAAACTCTGCTTTTTAGAGTGAATCTGAAATATGTCTTCATACTCTCCATATTTTCCAACTGCTGCTGGAAACATATTAGTCTGTGCTCTGCTGGTGTAGCTCTGAAGTGCTAAATCAATCTGTCTTCTTTTATTTACATGCTTTATTCCTGAGCAGTGTAATTGTGGGTTTTATTAACTTTGTGTTTTATGGCTCTAATACTTAAGAACAAGTCTATCTTTTATGTCACAGAAAGAAGGTTAATATACTTACAGATTCTCCAGCAATACATCTTGGGCAAGGCTGAGCAGTACCTCTGCTTCCATGGTTTTCAAAAACCTCATGAACAAAGACACATGCATAACAAGAAGAGGGCAATTACTTGCAATGGTATTATAGAACGTATTTTAAACGTGTTCTTCTACAAAAATAAGGTGTTGTGGACGGTGTAAACATACCATTGAATTCTGCTTTGCCTTTGTAGCCCAAGGACCACAGTCAGAGGAGATTTGCTGTTTGGAATCCAGCTCCATGGCATAACCAAGCAGACGAGTCTCAGTCTCATTGGGGATGGTTTCTAGCCGCTTGCATGCTCGCTTCTGAAAGAGTCAAAAGCAATATGGACATGTCTTTGCAAGGAATAGGCCACTGAACCCAGTTTTTTGGGATTATGATTATTATTACTATTATTTATTGTTTATGACCAATAAGGCTCTTGCATTTACTTGGTAGAGCCCTAAGTTAGTAACAGACCACCAGACACTAGGCCAGAACTCCGCATCTTGCATTTAACGTCACATCTTGTGCTGGCTGAGGAGGTCTCACTAAACATCTCTGTGCCTCATGTTTAGAAACTGGAGATAAAATGCCACTGGGAAAAGAACATCATGTAGCATTAGTGTGGGACGTGGGAATGTGTTTATCAAAGGAGAGGAGCAGGGGAAGTTGTGTGAAATGACTAATTAAATCAAGGAAACGGAAGGCAAACCCTGGAGCCAAGTCAGACAGTTATGAAGACATATGCTGTAACGATTTTTGTATCTTTCTCCGACTGTCACATTTTTACAGCTTTCCATTGCTATGTAATCCATTAATTATCACAGAATCCCAGACTGGTTTAACTGGGACCTTGAATCTCATTCAGTTCCAACCCCTGCCACGGGCAGGGACAACTTCCACTCACTAGAGCAGCTTGCTCTAAGCCCCACCCAAGGCGGCCTTGGACACTGCCAGGGATGCGGTATCCCTCCATGCTCTTGAAGCTCTAAGATGAGCTGCTATCAAGTACTGAATGACATCTGGATGTCCCATGAACCAAAAGCATCCTTCTCTGGAGGAAGGGCTGCCCTAAGCTGTCCTTCCCCATGTGCACAGCGACCCAGCACCAGCTTGGAGGTCCCAAGAAATGCTGCTTTATTGCTCTGTGAGAACCAGGTTGGGAACCAGTAAGGTTAAGATGCAATGGGAATGGCTTGAACCTGCCCGAGGGGAGACTGAGCTGAGCTCTTAGGCAGAAGCTCTTCCCTGTGAGGGTGCTGAGGCGCTGGCACAGGGTGCCCAGAGAAGCTGTGGCTGCCCCATCCCTGGCAGTGCTCAAGGCCAGGTTGGACACAGGGGCTTGGAGCAAGCTGCTCCAGTGGAAGGGGTCCCTGCCCATGGCAGGGGTTGGAGCTGGAGGAGCTTTGAGGTCCCTTCAACACAAACCAGGCTGGGATTCTATGAAGTCTAAGGAAGACACCAACTGGAAACCCTAAGAAGGATATCCTTCGCCTGTGCCTGCTATCCCATGCAAGGAGGGGGAACTACATAAATCCCAGGGGCTCCTTGAAATTCTAACAGCAAATTAACAGGAAATTTCAACACTGACACAGACATTGCAGGGTCCAACTCTGAATTCCAGAGATACACCTGACTTTGAAATACTTTTCTGATGCTTTTCTGAACAAACTTTGTTTAAGGAATAACAATATTCCATCTCTTTCACAAGCATCTGATTTCACAGGCACAAGATATGTTGTCACAGAACTAACAGACTACTGAAGCATGGCAACTACATTTCAAATTTGAATACGTTATGCAAAACTAAAGTGGATCAATACAATAGGAACCTCAGCGGAGAACAGTTGAAACAAGAACACTACCAAGTGTTTGGATGGGAAATAAATCAAAAAGTGAAATATGTATTGTAGTAAGAAAGGGAATAATACAACAACGGAAAGTCTGAGAAGGTCCTCTAAAGACAGAGCAGCTTCCACTGGGAAAACGTTCCTTTCTTGCTGAAGAACTCGTCCTTTATTAAAAGGTACAGCAGAGAAGTACAGCAGCATAACTAGGAAGATGTGTGAGATGAAGGAGAAAAGGGGAAGAAGTGACTTACTGACATCCATTAGAAGAAATCTGGCTTATTAAAAATGAATTCAAGGTATTGTCTTTTGGGGGGGTTAAGATACTTGGCATTGGCAACAGGAATTCAGCATACAGAATAGATGGTGCCACACTTGTCATGCCAATGCTGAGACAGTTGTGTGGGTGTTTCTATCAGGAAGCTGGCTTCAGGGAAGACTTCACTCCCTTGTATCCTTTCCTTTAGGAAACAATCAGTACATCGAGCACTGCCAGGGATGGGGCAGCCACAGCTTCTCTGGGCACCCTGTGCCAGCGCCTCAGCACCCTCACAGGGAAGAGCTTCTGCCTAAGAGCTCAGCTCAGTCTCCCCTCGGGCAGGTTCAAGCCATTCCCCTTGGCCTGTCCCTACAGGCCCTTGCCCAAAGCCCCTCTCCAGGTTTCTTGTAGCCCTTTTAAAGCACTGGGAGCTGCTCTAAGGTCTCCCCTTCAGGAGCCTTCTCTTCTCCCATGCATGAATGGTCGTGCTACATCCAGCTTGGAAATGCAGTTTAAGACAAGTAACAGCAAATTACATACTGCCCTAGAACAGGTAGAAAACGGGTCCTTCTGCCAAGAGGATATTCTGTAACTTTCTTTTCCAGCTGGGAAGTCCTGGAAAAAACACATGTATTTTCATAGAATAAATCACAGAATCATAGAACGATTTGGGTTGGAAGGAACCTTAAAGCTCACCCAGTTCCAAACCCCCTGCTATAGGCAGGGACACCTTCCACTATACCAGGTTGCTGGTGCCACTGATTTTCACCGATGCCAAAAAGATAAAGGCCTCACAGATGCTGCTTTTCAGAAAGAGGCAAACTAAACTGCTGCAAAAACTAGCTGCATTGAAATAACTAATCTAAATGCAATGGGAAGTACTTTTAAGGACTATCACTTGCTTTCTTTGATTTAGCTGTAAGATTTGAAAGATCTATAAATTTAATATGTTCATCACATGCAATTTCTGTTTTGTTTAGCATATGCTTAGAAGCCAGGCATGCTGCTGGCTTGTGTTCCATAAGCAGCTGCCCTGTAGGCACAAACCAGGTCTTGTGCAGCACAGCTTTACTTGGTTTAGCTCTACTGGGTACCTTTACAATAAGGCCAACAATGGCCATGTGTGGATGCTCTCTGCTGTAGCGTCCAGCTCTCTATGAAAGAGGTGCAGATGGAATGTGAGTTTGGGGGAGCAGAAGGAATGTGAGGTCAGAGCAGGTCCCTGTTCTGGAAAGATTTGCTTCCATTCAAATCCAAACCAGAACATGCCACGCAGGTAGCTCTAGCCTTGAAAGTTACTATTTGTTATTTACCAGCCTCTAGATCCAAACGCCTTAAAAGCAGTAGGACATCAATGAGCTCTATCCTCAGGCAAGATTCAGAAATACGTGCAAATAACTACATCAAGGTACAAAAGGGGAAAGGAAACCATACGTACAGATCTACACTGTGCAGCAGGAGCTGAGGGAGAGCAGAAAAACCCGTGGGGAATCTTCCCAGTTACAACAGCTACTAGCACAGACATTGCATGACAATGGCATCCAATAAAAGGAGGATTAGGATGTGGTTGTCTCCCCAAATCCAGTGCTCAGCTTGGCCCTGCTTGCTTCCCTCAGCAGCGCTTTCTCTGCAAAGCCAGCTACAGCATTTGTAAGGGCTGCAAGCCCCAGTCCCAGCACCTTCGAACCAAACAGGGCAGATGCCCAAGGAGAAAGGCAGCAGATCTTCTAGCATTAGACCTAAAACGTGCAGGACTCTGTGAGAGCTGTATGAGATACAAAGTGCAGCACCTTGCCTGTGTTGTGCCCGGGCTCATGACGTTAGCTAAAACCAGACACAGCTGGCAGTTATTTAGCTAAGAAATCCCCACACCACAGCGAGGAGGTACTCCAAGTTGGAGACAGTGAGAAGGGTTAAGTGCAAATGCTTCCTCTTGTGTCTGTGATAGAGCCAGGACGGCAGCAGCTCAAGTAAATGCATTAAGCTGTGATGACGCAGCTGTAATCCAGACCGTAACAACTGCCCTGTAGGATAAACCAACCTCTAACGTCTTGTCCAGGCTACTCTACACAGTAAATGTACTCTAATGAATGTTCTCTTTCGAAACTGCTTTCCAGAGCTTGACATATGTATTCCGCTAGCTACAGAGGTGGAGACAGCGATTCAGTCTCCGTCATACAAGTTCCAGAAGAATTTCGCCTGGTCTCCAGACAACTGGCCTGTTAGTGCATTTTTAGGGGTAAAACTGCAATTCATGAACTGGAAGAAAGTTCTTATTCACCTCTCCAACCTCAAAAAACAGGAAAAGAGAGATTCCCTCTTTCCTATGTTACCTTACCAGTCACAGTCCAAGTTCACTGCTCCTCCTCTCCTCTACAAATGGTGTTTCTCCAGGGAGATGTCAGCCCCAAACTGCACAAGTTTTTGCTCATGTCACACACAAACAGGGATGCTCAAGAAGCAGAAGGGGAGAGTGTGAACACCAGGATAAGGCTTTCTGGGAACTCGACACCTTTCCAAAGTTAGCAGCTTGGCACTTACTAGGACAGAAGATGCTTACAAGGTGGTGGAGCAGAAACACCTTGTTGGAATGAATCCCATTGGAGAAACACACATGAGCTCAGCTGAAATGCAAAAATTATTCCAGAAGCCCAAAGTACGAATGCTCCACGCAGCAGTGCTGGGAAGCACCTCCTGGAGCCAGGACAGCAGGAGAGTGTGCATCTGCAAACCAGAACCCCCGTGTGCTGGGCTGCACCCACACAGCATGAGCAGCAGCTCAGGGGGAACCTGCCCCTCTGCTGTGCTCTGTGAGAACCCCCCTGCAGCCCTGATCCAGCTCTGGGGCAGCAGCACAAGAGGGACCTGGAGCTGTTGGAGCGAGGCCAGAGGAGGCCATGGAGCTGCTGCGAGGGCTGGAGCAGCTCTGCTCTGGAGCCAGGCTGAGAGAGCTGGGCTGGGGCAGCCTGGAGAAGAGAAGGCTCCTGAAGGGGAGACCTGAGAGCAGCTCCAGTGCCTAAAGGGGCTGCAGGAAACCTGGAGAGGGGCTTGGGACAAGGGCCTGTAGGGACAGGCCAAGGGGAATGGCTTGAACCTGCCCGAGGGGAGACTGAGCTGAGCTCTTAGGCAGAAGCTCTTCCCTGTGAGGGTGCTGAGGCGCTGGCACAGGGTGCCCAGAGAAGCTGTGGCTGCCCCATCCCTGGCAGTGCTCAAGGCCAGGTTGGACACAGGGGCTCGGAGCAAGCTGCTCCAGTAGAAGGGGTCCCTGCCTGTGGCAGGGGTTGGAGCTGGGTGAGATTTAAGGTCCCTTCCAACACAAACCAGGCTGGGATTCATTCTATGCAATAGCATTTATGATGCCCCACGTGCAAATGTGTATCAGCAATAGTAACAGCAGCAATAATCGATGATCGTTCAGTGAAATTCCTCCCAAAACTCCCCGAGCACACGTGCACGCTCCCGCTCTCCCTGCGGACCACAGCCCCATGCACTCCCGCAGCTCCATCTCCCACAGCGGCACCGGTCCCGCCGGGGACGCGTTTACAGCGGCTGTGGGGAGCAAGGGCCGCTGTCCCCGCCGCCTCCCGCTCCGCTCCCCAGCACCGGCCCGGCCCCGCTCCGCTCCGCTCCGCCGCGGCGCCGCCAGAGGGCAGAGGCCGCCGGGCAGCCCCGCTCCGGGCCAGCGGCCTCTCTGCCAGGCCGGCGGTGACGGCGGGACCCGCCGGGCTCGGTCAGGACCCGCTGCGGCCAGGCCGGAGAGGCCGCTCCCGCCGCCGAGGTTGCGTCAGGCTCCGCGGGCCCGGCCCGGCGCTTCCGACCGCCGGTGCCCGGAGGGAGGCCCCGCTGCCGGCCCCCGCCGCCCCCTCGCGCTGTGCACACGGTCGGAACTCACTCGCTCCGGCTCCCCCGGCTCCGGGCCGTGTGTGCGCAGCGCCCCGAGCCGCCGGTCCCCGCGGGCGGGCAGCGGCAGCGCAGCCATGGCGGCAGGGCGGGACGGGACAGCGGGATCCACGGCCCCACAGCCCCGCCGCCGCCCCGGGCAGTGCCGCCCCAGCGGGGCGGAGCAAGGCCGGGCCTGGGCCAGCCCTAGCCGGTGACATGGGGCAGGCAGTACGGTGGCCGCTCCGCGTTCACCGGGCAGCGAGGAACAACCAGCGGCTTCCTCCGTTAGAGCCGGACCGGAGCCTCAGCGGAGAGCAGGGACGAGCTGAGGTCACCGGGAGCGCTGGTGATGGTGGTTCATTCAGCACGGCCGGTTCTGGCAGTTCGCGGTTTATTATAACTGAGCGTTCCTCAACTCGGCAATGAAAGATGAGAGGGGAGATTGAGATGAGACCACTGGAGCAGGGTGCTCCAAGCCCCTGTGTCCAACGTGGCCTTGTGCACTGCCAGGGATGGGGCAGCCACAGCTTCTCTGGGCACCCTGTGCCAGCGCCTCAGCACCCTCACAGGGAAGAGCTTCTGCCTAAGAGCTCAGCTCAGTCTCCCCTCGGGCAGGTTCAAGCCATTCCCCTTGGCCTGTCCCTACATCCCTTGTCCCAAGCCCCTCTCCAGCTTTCCTTCAGCCCCTTTAGGCACTGGAGCTGCTCTCAGGTCTCCCCTTCAGGAGCCTTCTCTTCTCCAGGCTGCCCCAGCCCAGCTCTCTCAGCCTGGCTCCAGCCCTCACAGCAGCTCCATGGCCTCCTCTGGACTCCCTCCTTGTCCCTCTTGTGTTTGAGGATCCAGAGTCCTTTGCTATACTTCTTCTGGGTCTTGAGGCCAGCACAGGGCGATACCCTCCTGCAGGAGGGTGTAATACACTGCTTGTCTTTTTTGCTCTGCTAAATCGAGCTGTTTTGCAGGAGAGAACATGTATTATCAAGCTATCCCTGGCATTCATTCTGTCTAGAGCTTATTCTTCACTAGGGATCCAGCTGTACTTACTGTATGAGCTCTGTCACAGCCTTTGAGCCTGAGGCCGTATCACAATAAAATAATCCACAGATTCTTCTTTTAATTTAGCATTTGACACGCCTGATAGAAAACCATCCCCAAACCTGGGTAATCCAGTTTGCAGAACACGCGAAGCATAAGTCATCCCAGAGGCTGAACAAAACCCAAATCCATTCACATCAAATCAGATTTATTTCATTATTTCAAAGCCACCTCCCAATTCCACCCCCAGAGCCCAGTTACGTGCCTTGCCAGTACAGCGAGTGCTGTGGACTGCCTTACCCTTTATATTCACACTCTTGGAACAACAGGACACACTATAAAAAGCATGGGGTTTGTGACCCATCCATCTCAATGTGTCAGCAGATGGCAGGGAATCCTCTTCTGCAGGTGTCAGTCTCATCTGCTGTGTGAACTGTGGAGGGAAGTGGTACCTGTGTGAACAGAGCATCACTTCCCTCCAGCCATGGATCTCCTTGGAAGGAGAAAAAGCTTCACTTTGCAAAGAGGAGGATGAAGAGTGTTAGAGATCCCTTCAGAACTGCAAAGAGCGGTCATGCGGATCCAAAAAGGGTGATTTGGGGATGTGATTAATTCCTTCCGCTGTGAAGGCCTGAAGGAAAACCACAAAACAGTCACCAGATTTGAAGAGTTCAGCAGCAAAGGCAGAGGATGTACAATTTACAAACCTCTTCAAGGCAACTTGTGATCTAAGAACGTGATGTTTTCAGTTAGGGATGCACTCAGGTGAGACCTGACCAAAAAGCCCTGCACCAAAGGCATGGAGATTTACTCTGGTTGTTAGTGGTAGCTTGTTGCCATCCATGCGTATCCACATTTGTACTTGCTAAATTCATAGTTCTTTGCCTCTTAGGACTTGAATGACTTTTATCTGGAATAGTTTGAATTTTTTTTTTTTCAGAGAAATTACTTTTTACCACCCCAAAATTCCATTCTTGGACTTGCTGTTCTTGTCTCCTGAGAAATTCATAAGTCTTCTTCTTTTTCTCCATTTGCTCAGTTATTTCCCTTTATTCCATTAAGCTAATTTGCTAAATGTTTCTTCGTGCTGTCTCTGCTGCTAACTCCATCATTTTGTGGAGTACCATGTAATGTAACTGGAGGATAATTTCATGGAATCATTTCACAGAATCAACCAGGTTGGAAAAGACCTTTAAGATCATCAAGTCCAACCTTCACCCCACCACCAACCCATGGCACTGAGGCCTCATCTCCACGGGGTGTGAATACTTGCAGGGACGGTGCCTGCAGCCCTGCCCTGGGCAGCCTGTTCCAATGCCTGAGCACCCTCTGGGGCAGGAATTGTTCCTCAGCTCCATCTAAACCTGCCCTGGTGCAGCTTGAGGCCGGTTCCTCTTGTCCCATCCCTTGTTCCTTGGGAGCAGAGCCCAGCCCCTCCTGGCTCCATCCTCCTGTCAGGCAGTTGTAGGCAGTGATCAGGTACCCCCTGAGCCTTCTCTTCTCCAGAAGAGGATTTGTGGATGCACATCCACAACATAATGTTGGACCACAGTTCTGCTTATTGCGTAAGGTGCTTCCAGAGTTCTTCTGTGTGTTCTTACTCAGTGCCCTCTTAATGGCTTCTGCTCTCTCATTACTGTGAGTTTTTTGTTCTCATCTTCTGAATCTGTCACTTTCACTCTTTATAACCTTATGACACATTCTTATGAAGAAGCTCTTCCCTGTGAGGGTGCTGAGGCGCTGGCACAGGGTGCCCAGAGAAGCTGTGGCTGCCCCATCCCTGGCAGTGCTCAAGGCCAGGTTGGACACAGGTGCTTGGAGCAAGCTGCTCCAGTGGAAGGGGTCCCTGCCCGTGGCAGGGGTTGGAGCTGGATGAGCTTTGAGGTCCCTTCCAACATAAACCAGGCTGGGATTTTGTGATTCTGTGTTTAGGACTTTCCAAACCCTCTAGAAGAAAAGAGGACATTAATGAATCCTATGAACAAACAAGGACTAGGACACATGCATAGAATCTCATCTTGGCTTCAGTGAAAGGAGGCTGTCACCTTTGGATACCTCTTGCTACATGGCAAACAGTTCTGCCTTGATTTATCATGATTTGTTAAGGAGGGAGAGAACTTCGATGTTAATTATGCCATCAGTGGTAACAGTCAAGGCCTCTAGGGAAAAATATCCTCAAAAAATAATTTTATGAATCAAAAAAATCTGTTTTAATATAAATTTTAATTTGACTTTGAATGCAACCAATTCCTTCAAACAGAGGAATCAATCTTCATTGGCAGTCTAGTAAATCTCTGTGATTCAGATTCAAGCTGCTTTTGCAAGAATCATCAACCTCCTGCAATTCTTCATCACTTTTGTAGAAATGAGACATGAAATTAATACCTAATAAAAGTCTTTTGTAGCAAAGGATGGACTCAATTCTCCAAAGTGTAGCTGCTGGTGTGTCAGAATAAAGAAATTCTGTAATCAGATAAAACAAGAAAAGATGTTACTTAGGTGTATTCATAGAATCACAGAATCATAGAAGAGTTAGGGCTGGAAAGGACCTTAAGCTCATCCAGTTCCAACCCCCTGCATGGGCAGGGACACCTCACACTAAACCATGGCACCCAAGGCTCTGTCCAACCTGGCCTTGAACACTGACAGGGAGGGAGCATTCACAGCTTCCCTGGGCAACCCATTCCAGTGCCTCACCACCCTAACAGGAAAGAATTTCCTCCTTATAGCCAATCTAAACTTCCCCTGTTTCAGTTTTAACCCGTTACCCCTTGTCCTGTCACTACAGTCCCTAATGAAGAGTCCATCCCCAGCATCCCTATAGGCCCCCTTCAGATACTGGAAGGCTGCTCTGAGGTCTCCACGCAGCCTTCTCTTCTCCAGGATGAACAGCCCCAACTTTCTCAGTCTGTCTTCATACAGGAGATATTCCAAAGATATTAGGGTATTCCAAAGATATTAGGGTTTATTTTATACTGTAATAAATATTTCTGTATCAAGTAAATATATTTCTATGTATATATATATATAGCAACTTCCAGCTACTTTAATTTCTTCGAACTGGAATTACATAGTCTCTCTCCTTTTCCATCACTGTCTAATGCTCAGGGAAATAGTATTAAGTCCTACTAACTTTTCTGCCACACATAAAGCTGTGAGTTCAGGGACTGGTGGATGAGAATGATGTTAAAACTCATCAATATTTTACAGGGAATTCCTGGCTTGAACACAACAGAGTAAAACCTGTGCCTGTGAGGAGCATGCATGTGAGTGCAACATGGTAATGGGCAAATGTAAGGCCATGACACAGTTCTTATGTGAACCAACTCGCTCTGGCAGGGCTGGAAACCCCTCGTGGTGCTCAGGAGTGACCACCCATGCTGCTGCCTTGTGCTCTGCCTTCAGCTTTGCTCTCATGCAGTTCAGGTACCGCTTCTGCTGTCGAGCTCTTTGCAACTCGAGGTGAGCAGTAGATCAACTGGGCACTATGGGAGCCTTGCCAGATTAATTTGGCCTGCTGCCTGTTGTTCAATCTGGAGTCATTGAGCCCCGGGTTTCCCTGGGACCGTGCTGCCAAATACTCCATATGGGATGCCCAGAAATATTGCCTAACGTTCGGGAGATTTAGTTCTCCTGCGTCTCAATAGGCCTATACATTTTTAACAGCAATCCTTGTTTTTCCCTTCCAAATGAACCTTGAAAAGGTCTTGTGGACCTTATTAAAGAATGGGGTTTTAAATTATGTGACATAGCTGTGGTTGACATAGGCTACAGAGATGCACATTTATCTCCAGAAGTTACAGTTGTCCTAGAGCTGATGCAGGGCAAGTCATTCCCAACGTGTGATGGTGTCATTGAGCTTTGGCCACCGGAGCAGAGCGCGCTTTAACCCTCCATCCCAACCTGGCATCACCAGAACAGCATATGGAATACGGTATCTAGTGCTGAATTCCTTTACTGTGAAAGAGTAGCCCCAGTGGCTGAAAATGGGTCAGGCAACAGCACGAACAGTATGGGCAAGAAATAATAAACCAAGAGTGAACATGGCTGGAACAGAGCATTTTACTACTGCAAAAACCTCAGTCTTCTCCATGAACATTTTCAATAGAGCAGAACTGTGGAGATCAAACAGGATGACCATTGTGTGTGGTACTAGGGAAGGCAAAGAATTTACCATTAGAAAATGGACTTGTCTGTGGAATTATGTATTTTAGTCTTATTAATGGCTCAGTGCTATGTCCTGCATCACTCTGCACAGTCTAATGCTTTCCATGAGGCATGAAGGAGCAGCAGGAGGAGGTTACATGCTATTTGCTCAATGTTCTAGATTATTTAATATGGAGTTTTTTAATGATCTGAAATCTGAAATAGAATTGGACAACTGTGGGACTTATTTAACAAAAAATGAGAATTTAAGCAACATTATTTTCTTTGGAACAAACATTTTATGGAGTGAAAATAACTATCTTATCCTTCTTCTGTGACTGGAACAGGAACTTTTAAAAGCTCTGAAATTGAGCACAATATGGTGTAAAATCCCAAATACACTTTCCCTAAAGATTTTCTACTCTTACAAGTTTCTGAGGGTGCCACTGGTTTTCTTTCAAGTTAAAATGTCAGGGAAAATACATACAATGGGACTTTCTCCCCTCAACTCACCCCAAATCACCGGAGAGATGTAGCAACCAGGAAGCAGAGCTGAGGTGTTCATACTTCTTCCCACTGCTTTTACCACGACACCCATTAAGACGAGCCTGTAACATTAAGATGAGCAAACTGTGTTCAACTGTGGTCACAATTAACACACTTCTTTTAAAATTTTCTTAAAATACTTGTAATTTAGTCCAAAAGTCTGTTTCTAACCTATTTTTTTTTCTGTCAGGTAATGCAGTCAATTAACTTTGAACAGATGAATGGGGAAGAAAATGAACATTTGCAGACACATCCTCCACTTGCTGCTCTTCAAAAGGAATCAAAACCCAACAGTATTATTGACCTGTGAAGATTTAGGATGTTCTGGGAACAATCTTAATGCTGGAACTGTTTTCAGCTGGCCTGTTGCTGTGGTGTCACACACTGACTTCAGACCATACCCTGCAGTGGCTGTTTGTTCAATGCACTTTATGTCAATGAGGCTTTGTCTGCAGCAAGCACCTAGTTGTACATCTTGCTTTTCATTTGTCTTCTTAAAGAGTATTCACATGCTTTTGTTTCCTTAGCATGACTGAGAAATAGAGGACCTCAATGCAGATAGGAATATTTTATTTTGGGTTAATTCATATTTTGCTTTTTGAGATTTCAGGTAACATTGTCAATGATTAATGTGCCAACATCTTACACGAAATTTATAAGGACAGTAAATATTCGTCAGGGTGCTTTATGACTGGTTTTTAACAGCACAGAGATAAGGCATTATTTTGGATTACATTTTTCTGTTCTCTTTCTGCTTCAAAAGGAATCAGTATTATTAGACAAAGCTAAATAAAATATTCACTCTTCTTATCCTGTTCCATTTCCTCACAGTGCAATTCCCATCACCAGTGGTAATCCTGGTTCCAGTGACAGCTTGGGCACAGAGCTTGAGGAGTGAAAATCTCATTTCAGGCTGGCATTATATCTGATTCTTTATTCAACAGGTATCTTGGCAAATAAGAAGCGAAACAGTAATACATCAGTCCTGAACAACCTGATATGACTGGTAAGAACAGCAGCCAAACTGCCCCATGGTACCTTTTTTCTTTGTAAGAGGACAATGTAAGTGGCTGTTCCGTTACAGTGTGAGCATTCTGGCATCAAGCATGTTGGAAAAATCCCTGTCTTGATGCTGCTTGGAAGCAAAAGGTTCTGTGGCAGGAAGAGCGTGCCCTGCCTGCCTTCCCTTATCACCGTATTCCAGTATTGAAAGGGTGGCTACAAAGAAGATGAGACCCCCTTTTGACAAGGAGCCCCATGGAACAGACAAGGGGTGATGGGCACAAGTTGCTCCCGAGGAGATCCCCACTGGACACAAGAGGCAAATCCCAGTGAGAGCAATCAGCCACTGGAATAATCCCCCCTGGGAAGTGGTGGATTCCCCAGTGTTGGACCCCGCTACGCTGCGGCTGGACAGGGTGCTGGGACAGCCACTTCGGGTCCTGCTTTGCCTAGAAAGCTTGGAGCAGATATCCCCGAGGCCCTTTCAACCTCGGAGTCTGTGATTCCCAGTCTGGACACCCAGCCCACCCAAGAGCTGCATGCGGATGAAAGCCCTCGAGTCCCCCTATGTCCAGGCAAGCATATTTTCTAGCTTTATGTGCTAATCTCACTGATTCTGTGTTTATTCTGTAAATTACATCGGATTGTCACCTTCAAGTCTTTTCTTTGTCAGAAACAAAAAATGTGTGATTTTGGTAGCAAAAAGTGTCAACTAATAGTAATTTTTTGAGTGGTGAACGCAAACCTCAGTAGATTCTAGAAAACTAAAGAAATTATTCAAGATGTGTATTTTCTGTATGACATCAAAACCTTTTGTGGTTATTTCCATCAGAATTAAAGTGGGTTTGTGGTAATCGTATCATGAACACGGACCTTTTGTAAGTATCAGTTTTCTCTGTTTAGAGAACACGAAGATGCTTTCTTTTACTCAAAAACACACCTCAGAGACGCACACTACAGGATTATTCCCCTTGCTCAGAAACGGTAAAGCTATTTGAGATTTGCTTTCTGCAGGTGATACCCGGAGCAGATGACGACCACCCAGACCCAACTCTGCGACAACACAAGAGCTACGTGAAGCTGCTGGAGCAAATCCAGAGAACTGGATGAGCTTTAATGCCCCTTCCAACACAAACCACCCCCATGAGGCCATGACGATTAAACCCAAAGCCCGAGGTGACGAGGAGCAGCGGCCATGACCCGTACACCCCATAGCGCCTGCGCGGAGGCTCTGCGCATGTGCGGGAAGCGCTGCGGCGCGGCGCATGCGCGCCCTGCCCTCCTTCCTGCGGCGCGGCCATGGCGGCAGGGGAGGTCTGTGAGGCGGGCTCCGCGGAGCAGCTCCAGCAGCTGCTGCAGCAGAAGGAGCGGTGAGGCCCCGGTGCTGGGGCTGGGAGGGACGGGGCGAGGCTCGCGGGGTGCTGCCACCCGTGAGCGCCAGGTCTCCGCGCCGGTTCTGGCCTGAATATGTGTGTGTGTTGGGGGGGGGGGGGAGTAGTGTCTGGCTTGGCCTCCAACCGGTTGTACCGTGTGTTTCACGCTGAGGGGCTGCGCCGTCGGGGGGTTGTCCCGGTGTGCCCCGAAACACGGCTCCGAGGTTGTTTCGGGCCGAGGTTTGCGAGGGGCTGGTGTGTGCCGAGGGGAGCGGGCCCTGTGCTGCCGCAGAGCCCTGCGCCGGGAGAGGGAACAACCCGAAACAGAGCCCTGGGCGAAGAGCGGCTTCGGGAGTGGGGCTGGGGAGGTTGTTCTTCAAGGAGCTGTTTGTTAAGGGAAAGATTGGGAAGGCTCAAGCTAGGGAGAGAGGAGGAAGCTGTAACTTGCACCAGTGCCTGATGCGGGGGATGTGAGGCCTAAATGGGCAGAGAGGCAGGAAAACCACGAAAACGGGACTTTGTGCAACCTAAGAAGTTGTTTTTCCTCTTAAGCCCTGAGATGTCTACAAGCCCAAGTTATTACACAGCGTTTCCAGTAAACCCAGCAGCATTTGAATCAATAGAACCATAGAATCCCAGAGTGGTTTGCATTGGAAGAGACCTGGAAGCTCATCCAGCTCCAACCCGTGCCACGGGCAGGGACACCTTCCACTAGAGCAGGTTGCACCAAGCCCTGTCCAGGCTGGCCTTGAACACTGCCAGGGGTGGGACACTATGGGCCGGTGTTTATTAGGTTGTATATTGAAAAAAGCCATGAAGCAAAACTGTTCATTTCTCATGTCTCAGGGCTGGTTTCTCATTACTCTGGTTTTATGGTCTACTAATGAGTAGCAGGGCTCTTTATCCACTGGTTTCTCACTGATTCTCTGTAGCCTCTGAGCAGCAGCTCCTGGCCTGATGTTGGGAATCTTGGGCACTGATCTTTAGGGGGAATTTCTGTGCCCAAGTTTTACTTTCCTGGGAAAGTGCCCCAATAACTACTGTTGTAATTAAAGATTAATGGGTGCTCAGGTGCTTTGTTGCAGAAAGACTGCTTTGGTTACGAGCTTTTCTTGTTTCTCTTGTGAAATCAAAGGGGTAGTAACTGTATTATTAGTTTTTAAGCCCTTAGCTGAGTGTGTGTTTAACTAGGCCTTGGAAGGCACAATAAAGTGCTGTGTTAAAAGCATTTCCATGTCATTTAACTGCTGCATTAGCAAGTGGACTTAAGTGTATAAGGAGAGGAAACTGATTGATTAAATGATTTTTAAAGGATGATGGAACTATCAGCATCTCAGTCTTAAAGACAGCAGAAGGAAACATGCTGATTATGGGAAGACTTGAGCATCACTTCAAGTTTTCCTTTCCTGGAATTAATCTTCAACTGAATTGTTGTGTGAGGACATTCTGTTGGAAACTTCCCCTCTCTCACATGGATAAACATGGATCAAAATGAAAGTGGCTTCAGCAGCCTGTTTTCAACAAACCCCTCAGTAATTCTCATTCCCTTTGCCCACATGACATAATTCAGTTTTCTCTTTTATGGATTTGATTCTTCTGTGCATGTTTCTGTTCCTAAGACAAATTGATAGACTTGATAACTCTCTTTCATTTGAAAACATTTGGCTTTGGCTTTTGGTACTGTTAAGAAACCAAGGAAGAAAACGAACCTGCACTTAGAGAACATAACACGTTCCCCAAGTCGTAGTGGGGGTTTTGTTTCTTTTTAATGATCTTGGGTTTGAATGGTAGTAGAACTTTAAAAATATAAACTGGCTGACTTAGGGTACCTCTCATGTTAAATTATCAAGAGGATTTGAAGCTTAAAGGTTTAAAAAGTAGTTCTAAACGTTCACTTTATTGAAGGTGGGTAAGGAAAGGAACTTACTTCTTACCCAGGAGGGAAGAAGTTAAAGGAAGTATTTCTCTTTTGAAAGATAAAGCTGAAGACAAAGAGTGTGTTGAATTTTTAAGGATAGGCCTGAGGCTCTTTTACTACTAAAATTGTTCTTTTCAATAGACTTCCTGATTTTTCCAGACTAATGGAATTGCCACAAATCACCTGCAGTTATCAGCATTTTATATTGACACTTAATTCCTTCAGATTTCTTGCTTCAGAAATCGATTGTTTCATGTATTAGGCTATTAGTAAAATTTGTGTCGGAGAATAAGTGTGAATTTTAAGGTTTAATTGTTTTCAAAATGCATCTAAATTTTACAGTTGCAAAAGGAGAATAAAGCCAATGGCTGCAAAATGATGGGATCATTTATCACACTGTAGCTGTTGTTTTACTTGGACTGTGTTTTGGAGAAATCAGCTTATAAACCAAAAGGCTTGTGCTGTCTGTCAGGGAGAGATTACACAGTTACAAGGGTGGGTCATCAATGGAATAATTATGTAGTAGTTATTTTCTGGATATCCTTGCTGGAGAATGTCTTACTACTTTGGCAAATAAAGGTATGGTTAGAGTCTGCCTCAATCAAATCTGCTCTCGTGGGAGCTCACTTGGAGCATTGTGTGCAGTTCAGGTGTCCTCAACATAAAAAGGACATGGGTCTGTTGGAACAAGTCCAGAGGAGGCCACATAAAGTGGATTTTAGTTTTGGGCCCATGGGTTTTCCTCCAAAATGTGAAATATGGATTGATACAGGAAGAGAAGCTTTGGGAGATGTCATAACCTTTTTGTTATTTTCTTTTATAGGTATTAGTTGGATTTTTAGAAGTATCTTGGTTGAATGTAGGAAATGATTTGTTTAGAATCACTGGGGTTGGTCTCCTGTTTTCCACTACTTTTTAGCCAGTGGAAGCATCATCTTGGTCCACTTGTAATTTAACAGATGCAAAAATCAGTGTTTTAAACTTAAAGGCATTGTGCCGTTAAAGGACAGCTAAAAAACTTCATTCCCTTTGATTCCAAAATCTATGATAGATCAAAGTAGAGCAGCCTGCTTTTTGAAGACCATGGAAACATCATCAGACTTGATTAAAATAAACAAAAAGTGCTTGTTACTGATGGATCAAGGATGGAACAACTTCCCTGAGCTCTTCACAGCATCAGTGAACAGTGCATAGGTTAGGCGCAATATTGGAGGAGGTCTCAAATGAAGCTTGTGATGAACAAGCTCCAGAAAACCAATCCTGTGGCAAACCTCTTGATGATTCTCCGCATCAGAGCCTGCTGTTTTCTGAGCTACTGAGCTGCTGCTGCTTTTTGAATTTGACACTGTTCTGTCTGTTTGGACTGGGTGTTCTCATACACACAGATGCCTTCCCGATCTTACAACCTGCCTGATTGTTTTCACCTCATTACACTGTGATAAAGTGGCAGTTGCACTGTGGTGTGAAGTGCTCAAACAGCTTTGCAGTGAAGGTTTTGCTCTGAGCAGTGTGATGTG